TTGAAGAATTGAAAGTGACACCTGATAACAAAACAACATAGTCATGAATTTTATATTGAAGGCTGTATGGCTGTACAGTAGATGCTATTATTTTACCTTTGGCAACAGCAGAGTGTATGGGAGCTTGATGAAGTCTGTCAGTTTGGTTGACATCACATTTAACATCTATCAGATAAACAGCAATATCTGTATGATCCTGGCTTATACTCTCTAAAATCATTCATTATATAATATTATTTCATGCTTTCCTGTGTTTTACTGTAATATACAGTTGACTCTCGGTTACTCGAAATCCAAGGGACTAGGTATTTTACTTCGAGAGAAACGGAATTCGAGTAACGTGGAACTACCGCCATTACGTTGACTTCGTACATGTATATACATGTACCTGATTGAATGTGCAAAGAAGTAGGTTTCTTATTGCTGTTAGCGGCAATGCTGCAATATTTAACCATTGAAATGACGGTAAATCACTTTCAACTACAAATTATAAATGAACAAAAATATATCATTAAAAATTTAATACATGTATATTAATAGTGAAACATAAACACACAATTATATTTGACTTAATTGATCATCGGACGAAAACGAAATTAGCAACTATCGTGAACCGGAAGTACAAATTAATGTATGCAATATGACGGAACATTAATTATACAAATATAATTTACGTTGATAATACACATCAATACCTAGGCTGTTATTTGACTAGGCTGTTATTTGACTAACACCCGTCAGACTGGCACGAGTCAATTTTTTTAAAGAAATGTAATAAAATTTTAATTTAGTTATCTAACTGTTAAAACCAATTAAGTCGTGAAACGGATTAAAGACACTTTTACGACGTGTTAATAATACATGATGACCGGCAATTAAAAATTACTATGAAGCGTGTAAATCACGAGCGACAACATCTCACCTTGATGTCGCCGACCTTTGATCAGTTGGCTGTTTTCACACTTCGACTAATTGAGATGAAAATATGTGGACTTTAATTGACGGGACTAAATTTTCTTTTCGACTAAACAGGAGTCTCGGTAAGTCAAAATTTGACCTAAGCGGAGTTAAAATACAAAGATAAAGAAGGAAATTTGACGGGACTTTAGAAATTATTCGACTAAGGCGGAATTTTGAGTAAAGCGATTTTGACTTATTGAGAGTCAAACGTATCAGATGATTATATTCTGATAAACCACTAGTAAATTTATAAAATATAATTTCACTGTAATCGACCTATAACTGATTCGGATGAAAAGAATATTATAACTAAATTTAAATAACAGGCTGAAATAAAGGCAGTTATAATGTAAATGTTGCTTCTTTAGGAAAAGAAAGTTGATGTCATCATGCAACATTTTAAAATGTAACAAAATTAGAGAAATTAAACAGAACTGTATTTCTAAATTGATGATGTGACGTCATGATGTGATAAAGGATAATGCGCGACGTTACGCAGAAAAATCAGTAAAAAATACTTAAAATCACTTAAAAAGTATGAAATAAAAAGAAAATTTATTTGTTTTACATATAGAATTGAAATATATTGCATTCCAAAACACCAGCTATTATATTTTTACTCAGGGTTATGCCTCTCGTGAAAATATTGCATCTGGTGTTCACTTAGTGAAATATATTTCAATCTTACATGCCTAACAAACAAATATCCTCTATCAATACTTCAATACTGACTGAACTGTTTAGATGCTGTGCAGTGAATGTTCTATACTTTGGTACAGCTACTTCTATATAATTAGATCATTTGTTTTAAAAAATAACAAACAAAGATAACAAAGAACAAACTTAGTAATTATCTAACATAACAAAAATATATATGTTACCTAAGAGTGGTGTTGCACCTTTAGTGACTGGAAGGTTAACATTGGCTCCTGCTTTGGCCAATGTTTGTACAACATTAAGGTGTCCATTCTGTACTGCTAGGAACAATGCTGTACTTCCTATCTTGTCCTGAACATTAATACTAGCACCTGTTATATCAAAATTGTATGACATTTTATAAGAAGTTGGACCTTTCAATTGTTATTTTAATATTCTAAGGCATTCTAATGGGAAAGGTCTAAAACTGAGTGCAAATCACTATAATCAAATGTCTTATCAAACAACAATGATAAGCACTTTAAACTGTCTATTATGAATTGTGATGAGTCTGATCACAATGGGCAATTACCATCTTGTGCAATCTTGACATGGCAAAATCCACTTTGGCAAGATCAAAATACTTTTACAGAGTACAAAAATCGAATGATATAGATTTGTATTGTACATGAATATCAATGGCTTTTTGAAATAAGGATATAATACAGAGTACAAACAATCGTATAATATAGCTTTATATTGTACATAAATATTTATGACTTTTTGAAATCTTTCTGCAAGAAATGACAATAAAACACAAAGGTCTGACAATTACAGTTGAAAAGACTGGTTTGTACCTCCATTGATAAGAATTTGCACAACATCATTAAAGCCAAACTCGGCTGCGTACATGAGTGGCGTCTTTCTCTTATCATCTATCTTGTCCATTTTACATCCTCCTAGTAGAAGTAACTGAACTATTTCTGAATTTCTCTCTCTCACGGCCACATGTAAAGCTGTCTGGCTATTTCTGTTATTTAAATCTAAATCTGCATTTGATGATATCAAAAGCTGGAGAGAAAAATAACAACAGAATAACTTAAAAGATTTTGATTTAAGTTTTCATTAAACATAGTTTTATGCTACTTGATGAAGTTGAGAAATAATCAACAATACTATAAAATATAACCACATACATAAAATTAAACACAAGAAAATTAAGGAGAAAATGTGTAAAAAGTAACTATATGTACATGTACTATAAAGATATGTTACCTTATTAGTATAATGGCCTTTGTACTGTTTAGTAAATATTATTGCGAATATTAACCTAGTGGTACTAATAGGAGCTATGATAAGGGTGGGCATAATAAATGACATAAAGTGCATCAAATTGAGGTTACTTAGTATGGTTAGAACTTAAGATACATGTATATCCAACTTGCCATCATAACTTAACCTTGTACAAATGAATGGACAGACAGTCAGGTCATTTACTAAAGTTTATAAAAAAAAAAAAAAAAAGCATTGGTAACACTTATGTTTTTTTTTACTCTTCTATGTTGCTTTGACAAAGCTAACTAGAAAATGTATTTCTTGTCTCAAAGACCTTGCTCCATTCACTCTGAAAGTCCACAGTAAAGGTTCATTGAGTGGGCCAACACACCAAATATCTTAGATAGATATTAAAGTTATTTGTCAATAAAAAAAGAAACTATCAAAAACAGTCAGTAAAAACTCAAGGGCAAATTGTCAATCATATGGTTCACTGGGAAAAAAATTATTTGAGCACATAAACACCAAGAAACAATGGAAACAACCTTCTCTACAATACCTGTAGAACATCTGTTTGACCTTGTGAAGCACAAGTGTGTATTGCAGTATATCCGTTAATGTTTTGATCATCTATATCAGCACCATTTTCAATCAGTAGTTCTGCTATTTCTAAATGTCCTAAAATAAAAAGTGATAGAAATTTTTAGAAAAATTCAGTTCATCATTCAATAAATAAAACATTGTAACACCTATGATATATCTGAATGCACTGCATCCAATCATCTGACCTGAATTACAATTTGTTATTAATTGTGTTATTAATTGTTAATTAATTGATTAAAATGACAAGTTAATATAAGTAAAGTAAATATAAGTGTGGTCTACAGTAGGTCTTTCGCCTATACCAACAAAACTACTGAGGTCAGATTTGAATGGCTAATGCTTTTCAAAGAATGACAAAATATAATTAAATTTTTAATAGACGTGCAGTTTTAAACTTTATTCAAATGTTTTTAAACTTCCTAGTCATTTATTATCAATTACTTATTATTCAAAGCAAACATTAACCATACAATAACAATCATTTTATCCAGCAGCAAAACAACTTGTAAGAATCAAAATCACATTTTGAAATAACTTCTAAATCATTATTTAAAGTATAATGCAGATATTCAAATCAAACATTCTTTAATCAAGTAGGTACTAGGTTATAATAAAAATTGAACCATACAGAAGGTTATCTATATTGCTGCAGCCCTACTGCAAATACATGAACTTACAAAATTGAAAAACCTCACATTGTTAATTAATACATCAGGGCTCAAGCTAGGCTCAAAATTTAGGGAGAAGTCACTTCTCCCTCCAGCTGCTTTAGGGAGAAGTGGGGAGACTTTAGGGAGAAGTGAGGAGATTCATTTATCGATGTTTTTTGTATGTTATTGAAATTATGTTGACTCACTGTACATATCTTATTAAATGAATTGGATTTGTGTTACAACAGAATATTCAATTTTAATTTAAAAGTAGTTTGAAACAAGTAATAATAAGAATGAGTATCATGTAATGCAACCATTGCATTAAATAAAGTAAAAAAGCCATAGTTGATTCCTATAATGGATCATATCATGGGTGGATTAACAGTTATTCCCTTCTGATTTACTATTAAAAAGCTTGCGTCGAACATTATATTCATATTCACTTATGTTGTAAAGAAAATGAAAGTAGATAACGAAAGAAACGATCTTTAATTTAACTACATTTGTAATAAATACAGTGTAATACGCCGTCAATTTTATCAAATTTAACTCGTCGACAAAAAAGGTTATCATAACTTTCATTTAAAATTACCGTTACAGTTATATGTCGAGCGGGCCTCTTAATTCTGACAATCATTCTATAGTGAAAATTTAATTGACGTTTGATCCGTCCATCATAAATAATTGTTACTGGTAGTTGTATGTTAGCGATTTAATGATTGGTTTAATAATGTCGCCTCGATTGAAACGTGAATTACGATTGGTTTCTCGCACGTATCGTAATCTCGCCGTGGGCGGAGTCTAATTGTTCCTCGAGTGTCTGTTAATTAGACTTTTATGACATGTTGGTAAACAAACGGATTAATGACATACGCGTTGATTGAGATGCATGACAGTCCCTTTTTCCGGCGGCGAGGGTAAACAAAGCAAACACACACAACATGTTATTCACAGTTATTGTTGGTAATTTTCAATAATGGATCAATAAAATCGGGCGACTTCATCTTCGCTTTCATGTAGAATGTAGGCGAAGTCAGACGGAATTCGGCGACTATTTCGCCCGAATCGCCCAGTAGCTCGAGCCCTGTACATATTTTATTTTGCAGAAAGCAAATTTCAGCACAATATTGTCAAGGGTCTCCTGCTTTTGGCAGATATAGGCTGGTGAAATTTAACCAAGACAAAAATGTTTGAACAGAAACATATTGCAGATTATAAACAAAGTGACACATTTTTTAGTTAATTCCAGCTATTACCTCTCCATGCGGCCATATTTAATAGATTGTTCTGTTCAGCATCAGCCATATTTACATTAGCTCCTTTCTGTATCAATATCTTACAAATATCATAACATCCCTCCTTGACTGCAAGCTGTAAGGCTGTCTGACTGCGGTATTGGAAGTCAACATCAAACTCATCCTGAACTATTTCCTGTACATCCTCAGTCGAGTGCCTGTCAATAGCTTCTTGTAAAGCTCGTATTTGACGTCTTTTCTCTCGCTTCTCAAAACCAGCTCGGGAATTATCTGAAAAATCAGTATTGTCTTTGTTGTCCAATATAATTAACTCTATCTGATAGAGACAAAATAAAATAGCTAGAATCTCAAAAAAATTGACTAAGACACTTCAACACGATAGGTGGCGCGATAGCTCACTTGGTTAGACCACTGACTATCACTCCTGTGGTCCAGGGTTCGATCCTTGGTGACACCCTTTGGATTTTTCAGAGACATTTTCAGTATTTCCCACCTACCTAGAGGTGTACTTGTCAGAAATCCAGGTAATCCTTCCATGTATCAGTGCTAAACATTAGGCATGTAAAAGAACCAAGTGGTCTATTCAAACAGAGCTAGGGACTGGTTCCCAGATTCCCTTGTATCTCATAGCTGCCTCTGAAGTCTAGAGTCATGTCTACATTCCCGTGAGGGGTTTGTATGGTGGCTGATTTGGTACATTGCGTGTTGCATTGTCGATAGCTGCAACGCAACCTATATCGTTATCGCCTTTTCATCTTGTCGCTAGCGACAACACGACACACAAAACGTTCCAAATCAGCCACCATAGATTTGACATTAATGGAAGTAAATAGACTTCAACCATTCAATGATTCATTTAAAATTTAAAGTCAAAATTAAATTATAAAACTGGGGACAAAATGGTTGTATGTTCTTCATCTATGATTTAATAATTATTCATTATAAATATAGATTCAGGACTTGTTCTAAATGAATTTGTTTAAAGTCAAAGATGCAAAACAAATCAAACTTGGCGACATTCTAAATTAACTGTCAATAACTCAATTGCTGTTAGTCGAAATTGCACTATCCGAATAACACTGCATTTCAACATTTAATGACGTGCAACACTGGCAGGATGCTCAATTTAATAACAGCTTTTGTTTAATTTAGAAGGTAATTTTATTTTAACGTAATTTACAGCATATAAATCAGACTTATATGTACAAGTAAAGCATTTGCATACCTCTTGCATTTCTTCTTCCATTAGTGGCCATATTTGGACTGGCTTTTAACCCGAAAAGTTAGTGAACTTTCCGATAAATATTGAAATCACGGAAATATCCTTAGGTTCTAAAGTATTAAATGCATGTTTAGTTTGTATGGAAATCTTTGAATCTTGATGACGAAATTCATTAGTCTCACACAAAGACAGTCCTATTTCATAGCAAAAAGATTTCATTTGCAGTAAAAGAAGAGTAAACAAGATGTTTTACAGTACTGTACACAGATCTATATACACCATCTATATAAATTGACCTTTCAACATTGGAGATCCATACAAGAGCAATTATGTGTATATGATATATTGATAATAATATCGAAACACATAGAATAGAAACAAATAGAATAGAAACAAATAGAATAGAATAACTTTTATTTTCAACCAAGGACCATATTACATGTATTATGACATATAAGTCACAATAATAATGAGATCGACGATCACATTAATTTAGGATGTTATAGAAAATAAACTAAGAAATTGAGTCAAAAACTAATTTTTGCAAAATTGATATAGATTTACCTATGAAACATCAAAACTATATAAAAAATATTCAATTGTTGTGTGTGTATATGTTTTCTTTTTAAATGGCAAAAAGAATATACTCCTAAAAGTATTGTTTTAATCACTGATTTATATTACAGTAATATAAATCCGTGTTTTAATTAATTGATAACAACAGAGACTTAAATTTCAACTCTGTGATAACAATTGAACAAAATCTGCAGGGCTTTTTTCATAAATACCCCATCTTCATAACTTATTTTAATCGAATAATTTTGGTTTTTTCAAATATTTTTAAAATTATATATATTAGATATTTATAAAAAAATATAATCTTATTTGCAACAATGCTTTCAATAAACATAAAAAGACATATAACAAGTAATTTTATATAAAGATTATAAAATTCAGTACATTTTATTCAACAAAGAAGACAGACATGATTTTATAGTACATGTATATTTTCTAGCTATAATATAGAAGAAATAAAAACAGAATCTCTAAAAAAAAAAGCCCGACACGACAAATTTGAAAATGTTGCAGGCCCGGTTTGAATGAGCCTGTTTTCCGCCCACGCCCCCTTGCACCGGCTTAAGCAGAATTCAACATTTCACATGATCGAATTGGACATTTTTTGAATTTTGTAACATCCGCAGATGTGTTCATACGGCGATTATTATGGAGTCTTCAATGTGACACGTTGGTGCCATTCCATGATCCCAAATAAATGCATGTGCCTAGGCAAAACTAAATAAAATAGAATTTTGAAAGGGGACCAGATTATGAAGCCTGCATATCACAGATAAGCTGTCAAAAGACAGAAATAAAAAAAATTTAGTTCGGTGCATTCTGCGTGCGCTGCTGGCTTGCTGGTGTGACTGGATTGTGCTGGGCTGCGTTCTGTGAACGTCGCCTTGCTTTGTTGATATGTATTCTCATTTTTTTTAAAGATTTAAACACTAGTGATAAGAAAACAAAACCGAAACACAGTAAAATATGGTAATTCTTTTTTTCCCAATATTTCTAAAATACAAATGTATATCAAACAGCTCTAAGTTATTAATAATGCGAAAGATATAACAAATTCCGTGTAACTTCAATTGAAACCTTAACATTTGCTACAGTTTTGTTTTCCTGAAAGGTAGAATGAAAATTAACCATTACTTTTTGTAATAGATCTGTTTCATTAAATCACTGAAAACCAATCGAATTTTTCAAAATTGTTCTTCTATCACGTAAATCGAAAATATTTGGCAAAATAATATTTCATTTAAAACTGCGTCTACATTGTACGTTTTAATGAACAGTTGATAAAGTATAATTAAAATGCGCCTGTCTTTATTTCCGGACACTATGCATTTAAAGTAATATTTTATAATGGCCAGTTTAATAATTCAAGATTCAAGATTCAAAATATTTTATTTTGTAACGTAAACATGACGTTTCTTGCTACACAATACATATATACAATGATACAATATAACTTGTCAACATGACACAAATTTATATACAATTATATTTTTAGCGGAAAATATGATACATATAGTCAAAACAAGAAAGAAAACGGAAGCGAGAAAACAAGGAGGTTGAACTAATGGAGATTTTGTATATTTAATGACTTACAGCTAAATAACAGTCAAAATCAGTCAAATGTTTCATGAAATTATTGAATTTTAACACGGACAATTAGTATATTTTTTTATTGATAAAGGTATATATAGTAATAAGCTTATTCAGATATCATATTAACAATACCCGGACGTATTTCAAACGCTTCATATATATATTTACATAATTTAAGTTGCATGTTGCTGTTGGTATTCTGTATTAGTTCAACGAATTTATGGACACTAGGTCTATTATAATAATATTTCTTTAAGTACTGTTTACGTATATCATTATAAGCATTACAAATACAAACAAAATGAAATTCGTCTTCTATATCACGTGAATTACAAATAAGACAATATCGCTCACTACGTTCAGTTCTACAATTACCATACCGTCCAGTTTCTATTCTAAGTTGGTGTGAAGACAATCTTAATTTTGCAAAAGCAATCCTAAATTTCTCAGGAATTTTATCAAGATACAGTGAGTAATCAAATGACGTCTTAAAAAGTCTATATGTGCCTAGGCTCGGGCTAGTTGTTACATTATGATACCATGACTGGATGAATTGATCAATAAGAGTTTGCTTAAATAATAAATGTACATTTTTAAGGTTATAAATACTTGGATTATACCATATATATGACAAACCTGCATTATCTAACAATGATTTCACATTAGACAACCAGTTATTTTTTTCCTCTATTAATATCATTTAACATTGATGTATATAAGTATCTAAGTATAACATTATTACTGTTTACAATATTTGACCAAAATTTGATAATACGTACATATCTGTTTACATATAATGGGTACCTTTTCAGCTCACCATAAATAGCCATGCTGCTAGTTGACTGCTTAACACATAACATGGACTTACAAAATTTTAGATGTACTTTAACTGGTGTCTGTTTTAAATTGAACAATAAAACATTTAACGCCTTTAGGGCTTTCCCTACTAAATACTCTTGATTTAAAGTAAAACTACCTGTATAGTTGAAAACAGTACCTAAATAATTAAAATTGTCGACTATTTCTAAGGGAATATCATTATATGTCCAATACTCATTATTTCTTATCGGACCCCTCTTCCTAAAAACCATAATTTTACTTTTACCTTCATTTACTTTAAGGCCCCATAAAGTACAGTAATTATGTAATGTATTTAAACTATTTTGTAAGTCTTCAGGGGATTTACTTAATATGACAATATCATCAGCAAATAACATGAGAATAAATGTAATATCATCTAATGTTAAACCAGAATTAATATCATTTAATAAATACATTTCTAAATCTTCTAAAAACATAGAAAACAATATCGGGGACATTACCTCCCCTTGTTTAAGACCAATTGAACATTCCAGGAAATCTGAATATGATTTACAGCCCCTTATTCGTGATTTTACTTTAGAGTACATATCGTGGATGATTCTTAAAGTTTTTCCACGTACACCAATATTATATAGTTTAAACCATAAACCATTACGATAAACACTATCAAAAGCCTTTTGAAAATCTATAAAGGCACATGCCAGACGTCCATTTTCATAAAAAATTTTATTAACAACAGCATTTAAAACAAAAATAGCATCAACTGTGGAGCGACCCTTCCTGAAACCAAATTGTGCATCACTAATTTTGTCGTTTTCTTCAGACCATTTTGTCAATCTGTTATTCAGAACACCTGTAAATATCTTTGAAAAACAACTAACGAGACTGATTCCTCTATAGTTACTAGCAAGTGCAGGGTCATTTTTCTTAAACAGAGGTACAATAATACTTTCCATCCATGAATCTGGAAAAAAGCCACATTTAAAATATCAACTAAATGCGATGATAAAATATCGGACGAATTTATAAAATACTCATTCAATAACTGGTCACCCGCAAAAGCCTTATTTTTCTTTAAATGACGAATAACACACTTTATCTCATCAACTTTTATAGGTTCATCTAGCTCCTCGTACAGTACATCATTACTAAAAAAATCTAAATTTTCACAAAATAATTCACTTTCGGCATGCAAAACATTTGGCAACTCATTAGATTAGTAGAAAAATGCTCATAAAAATCTTCTATGGAAACACTATTCTTATGTATCGCCTTTTTAGTAAACAATTTCCAAAAATCCTTAGGTTTACAGTGACGAAGGCGTTCAATTTCTCTTAATTTTTTTAACTCATAACTACGTTTCTTTTTTTTTGACAACATTGTTATAAATTAGTTTATTATTACAAAATTCTATTCTATTTACATCATTTTTACACATATCATATTCATATACAGAATTTAAATATACCTCTTTTGAACGTTTGCAATCTTCATCAAACCATTCCGCCTTTTTACATAGTTTACCATCGACACGTGGTGTAATATATGTTATTCTACGTTTACAAAATAATGGATCTGCCACGCTTCTCACAACATTTACAAAGGATTCTATACATGAATTTAACTGTAATCTATCGTTAAAATCAACATTTTCGGTAATAGTATTTAAACGTGGTAGTTGTGATATAAGACCTCTACGGAATTCGTTCCATAACTCGTCATTCCATCGTTAACTAATGCTTTCATAATAAATATCATTATCCTCGTGCAATACGTGGCATTTAATAGAAACTGATATAGGAGCATGATCAGACCATTCATTAAAACTCTGTACAGAGAAATCGCTAACTAAACTGAAATATTGCTCTTTCAACAATAGATAGTCAATGACACTAGATCCCGATGAACATATATAAGTATAGTTTCCATTATTATAGTCGCGACCAAGCCTACCATTTGCAATACGTAAAGAACTAGACTTGCATACATCTAATAATTTAATAATGTAATAAAATATTACTGATAAAGTGATAATTTTACCTTAGCTATACCACTCATTTTATTGGCAAAATTTTAATTAACTCGAGG